ACACTTACCTCAGGCGCGTAGTTGGGAAATTCTCGACTTTCTGTCTTCTCTTAGCGCTTCCAGCAGACGGTGGTTTATCGACACGTGGCCCGGCGGTCGGCACGCTAGTACTCGCCAACGTCTATTGTCAAGGCTTTGTAATGAATTAAAGCTGCAAAACCACCACAACTCAGCGGAAATATATGGAAAGTGCTATCACTCACAAAATAAAACGCGTGAAACACGAATATCACTCGCCGTTCGGCTCCCAACGTCATACACCAACACACACCCATCACGCCGGCAATCGCGATTCAAACTGAAAGCGTGCGAGCCAAAACAGCAAAACGCGGAACGATGATTGGTGGAGAGCAACAGCCTTCTGCGCATGCGCGACTTGGGTGGCTGCTCCCTGAGTTTCTGGCAGCATCAGGTAAAAGTACTCACTAAAAGGTAAATGTACCTAAAAATAAGGAGTCAGAAAAACGCATTTTAGGTATTTCTATACCCAACGAGTTGATGCATGTTACAGGTACCTCTTTTTCAATGACAAGTGGTTAAAAAAACATGCTGGTAGAGTAGCCCTACACAACCGATTCTGATTTGTTAGGTAGATGTACCCCTCTTCTGGGTAATGGTACCCCGAATTTGCAGGGTACTGTGAACCTCCGAGGTACATTTACTGTAATGTATGTAAAAAGAACCATTTAGTGTTCAGTAACCCCAAATAAATGGTGTACCATTACTTCTGTTGGGGTTTTAATACCTGAAAAATTGGTGTACCGGTACTCGTCAAGTGTAAAACTACCCATAGAGGGGTAAATTTTTTTCTGAGTGTGTGTCTACTTTATCTTTAGTTTCCACATTCGTATTCATTTCGAAACGTGCCTTTGGAGGGCAATATACAATACATGGGGATTAGCCCTGCATCACGAAAGTAACAAAGAAGATTTTATTTCAGACCGGTACGGTTCCCTTACCTAAGACGCTACGAACGAGGTCTTGAGAAGTTAAGGAGACATACAACCGGACGTTATCAGCTTACCGGTCACGAATGTAGAATGGTTAAGTGAAAATCACATTAAGGCTGGACATATTTTTGGACATGAGGACTTGTGCAACAGCGCACTAATATCAGATAAAATGCTTAGTCTCGGTGATGACTCATAACATCTCAAAACCGTTTCCGTCCCATGCTTTTTCTTATATCCGTGCCGATGCAGGACGGTATAGCCTTGGGCTGACTGACATGTAGCTAAGTGAACAAGAAGGCTAGATGGATGAAATTATACTACCCTTAGTAGAAGTTATATGTTTAGGCGCACACTGCAGATATATGTTATTAAATTTATAAGCATAGGTACATTTCAAGGTCAAGTAATTGTGCATTGACGCATCTCCACTATAGAGAAACACGATGCAGATGAATTTAAGCTCGTGCAAGTTTTGAACCAAAGTTGTTGCAGAAGTTGTTCCAGCAAAAAAAAACGTCTTTCTTGCAGTGGTTGCCCTCTGCAGGCTAAAACTGCCAACATTGAGACTTTAAACCCTCGCCCGCACATGCCATTTTCCCATCCTAGAACGCACATGGGGGGGGGGGTTGCCACCCCCCCCCCCCGGCGCCATTTCGTTCCTGTTGGAGATAGAGCTTAGCGGTAAAGACCAAAAAGATTCTTTGGGAAGAGACGAATCCAATGATACCCAGTTTTACCTTCTCAGGTCAGTCATTGACCTTCCAGGTCAGGTCAAACTAAAAATGTTGCTGTTTTAGATCACCGTTGGATATCAAGCGCGCTGCTTGTCATATACCGATGACGATGCCGTTTTCTGGTGCCAAGCCAGCTAGAACCTCTTTGTCACACTACCCGACCAGGTTTTTGCTGCTGAGGTCATCTCAGGTCAAGTTAGGTCAAGGTCAATAATATGTGTTTGTATGTCTGTGTGTGTCTGTGTGTATACTGATGTGTGCACCGATTGTTTATGTGTCCATATTACATGAAATCATGATCTGAGAAGCTTTTACCAAAAATGTAGTAAAAAAATTTCAAAAAAGTAAATTCAGCTTGCCTAAAACGCAATTATCTTAGATGACCTAGGTTGACCTTGACCCTGACCTTGACCTCTGTACATCGTCGAACAACATGTTTCATGATAGGTGGGAGGTAGGATTGGCATAAAAGGCCGAAATCAAGGTGTTAAAAGCTCACAAGGCCCATAGCCAACGCAAGATGTTGAGAATTGGCAATTTGGGTCATGACATGACCTGAAAAACAAGGTCATATCTCCGAAACCAAAAACCACAGAAACTTGAAATTTTAAGTGGACATCAAGAAAGGATAGAGGAGCAGCTATACGAAAAATCAGCCTTCTAGCTCTAAAAATGTTGAGTGCAGAGCAGAAAGACTACCTGGGGGGGGGGGTGTGGCAACCACCCCCCCCCCCCCCCCATGTGCGGGCGAGGGTTAACTCAAATGTGAGAGAATGACTCAGTAAACGATAAAAGGTGCTTTTAAGCGACGCTCTAGCTCAATTCATTTCCAAGTTTCAGTTATACGCCGGTTTGTTGAAGCTTGTCGAACTAGCCGAAATTTGACCTTCGATAAACTCTGGTGACCTAATCATAATCACTAATCTTACCTGAAAATGAGCTTCGTAATTTTGTCATTAGTTTTGATGCTCCTTCGAAGCCGCCTACCGCATGTCGCCACGTGGCCCAGGAGCCGTGTTAGAAGGGGTGTTCAAACACCCCCCCCCCCCGGCAGGGCGTGGAAATCCATGGGAGTCCCAGCGGGGCGCAGGTTATCCAGCATGGGTAGCTCTTCCCCAGGAGCAGGCCCATGACCGGGTGCGGTGACTGTTAGCGTGGATGGGCGGCCTGTCCATCCATGTGATGGCTCAGCCCCAAATGGGCACCAGGATGCGCGCCCAGACCACTGTCTACCCCTAAGTTATGTCATCATTCCGGCTCTGAAATGATCTCGTCAGAGCAAAAGAGCCTATCCCAGCAAAGCAAAAAAAAATAAATAAAAAATAATAATAATTAAAACGATCTTGCGGTCGGTGTATCTGCGGTGAACATTAGGTACATCATTTTTTAGGTAAGATCACTTGTGACCTGCTTATCTAACCTTGGGCGACCTGGTCAGAAAATTTCATAACTTGTGCAAAAAAACCGGCATGCATGAATAGGTGCATTCCGAAAATGGCGGCGCTTTTTGAGATATGAAAAAAAAACGCAAGGGGGAGGTGAAACGGGTTCTGGACAACACATCGAAACGGAAAATATTGAATTGATAAATATCGAACGCATTACATCGAAGTGGTAAGATATCGAAACACAAAATATCACTGAGACAGCACATCGAAAGACGTAGAACATCGAGCGTAGAATATCGAAAGTGTAAAATCTCGGAAGACAAAATATTTAAAAGACTAAATCAAACGCAGCATAACGGAAAGCCAAAATATCATTAGAATAGATGACCTCCTCGGAAAATGACGAAATGAATTGAAATTATTGATGAATCGATGATATTTCGGTCATAGACCTTCGGCTAAATCGAATTCGTTAAGTCGTACAAGGTAAAAGTATGACTTACCGAATTCGATTTAGACTAAGATCTGCGACCCAAATATCATCAATTCATCAATAAATAATAATTTTCATTTATTTTGTCAGTTTCCGAGGAGGTCATATATTCTAATGATATTTCCTACATTTATCATGCTCTTCGCAGCAGCTCTGAACGATTTACGGAAAGCCAAAATATTGAACGCAGAGTATCGGAAAGAAAGAGTACCTTTTGAAAACGGTGGCGAGTAGCGCTGCCTTTTTTGTTACACCTTATGACTTATCTTTTCTACACATGTTTGACAAATTTTAGGTCCACGTCTTTTAACGTCATGTCAAGAAGATCACCTGACGTGAAGAAAGTTCTCGCTGATATATGCGTTTGAAATGGGCGGACGTGTTGAAAATTGTCGAAAGAGGCAAAATTTAATATCCTTTGGTCACCTGACCTTCCCTTGTAATGACAAAAAAAAAAAATTGCTGGAGTAATGACTTCAGGATTTTCGACAATTTAGTATCTTCGATATTTTGACTTTTTATGTTCTGCACTCGATATCTTGTCTTTTTGATATATTGCGATCGATATTTTGTCTTTTCGATGTTTTGTCTTTCGATATTTCGCCTTTTCAATATTTTGTCTTTTCGATATTTTGTCTTCTCGATATCTGATCGTTCGGTATCATGTCTTTCGATATTTTGTCACTCGATATTTGGTGTCTCTATAAGTTGCCACTTCGACATCTTCTTCATTGAATAACTTCTACAGCTTCTTCTTCGACAACTTCTACATTGAATTTGAAATGTGCTTTGATATTGTAAACCAGGTGGAAATTTTTATTGTGAGGCTTGCGCCTCCATATTGGTGTTGAGCTCTACTGCTGGTGCGTGGTTCCCTTGTAAAACTATTGCTGTCATTTACGAACAATTGCTTGTAACTCCAAAATCTCCTGAAAACAAAGAGGACCCGAAAATAGTGTTATGATCGTGATTAGCTAATAGACGAATTGTTTGAGATTAGCCAATAGGTGAATTGTGGTTCCTGGATACACGGCACGATCCCGTGTAGACATAAATTGCCATCATGACATTATTTTTTACTTCGATGGAGCCTCGCTTCTCAAATCGTAAATGCTCAACTACAACTTTCTAACCTTGTGAATCAGGTTGGGCATCGTTGCATTGAGACGCAGTACCTATGTAGCTAGTTCAGGTGAACTTCATCTCGAAATAGTCTGGTACCTTTTTTAGACTGTCTGGCAGATTACCCACACGTATAATGCAATTAGTATCGGCCTGCGATTTCAACTTCAGTCGCCATGTGAGCGTGCTCTCGCCGTAATCTGGACGGGCAGCGTGACCACTGCACTGGTGGATAAGACGGACGCGATCCGTTATGAGACTGGCGGCCGGACCGAATATATAAGGCCGGGCCGCCGAGTTCCCTGCACTCGAACCCCGAGCCGTCGACCCTTACACTCCCAAACCGTACAGCTCTCCACAGTCAGCTATGGCCGGTGTCCGCGCAGCGATGGTGGTGGTGGTGGCCATGGCGGCACTCGCCGGTAAGTACGCTACTCGACTCCGCTCCTCTTCGCCAATTAAAAAAACTTAGAATTTAAAATTGTTTAAATTCTTCAACCTACAAAGATAAAGGCTTCCACTCTTCCACTTATGGGGCCTCGTTTTTGCAAATAACTCGCAAAAAGGTGACCGATCACGACGAACCTTTCAAAACCCACGACTTAATTCATGCTACACCTACCCTAAAAATTCCATGACCCTGGCCAAAATGGCTTTTGACCTATGACCCGTTTATCGATACCATGTCAGGCCGGAGTCAAGATTCGGCGTACCTATGTACTTACGTACATCAGCGCACATTATCCTTGCACTACGACTACTCAGCCTTTTTGTGATGTAAACGTTCCAACATGTGAGATGATGCCTGTTCAATGCATTACGGTGGGTGTCAAGGTCATGTGAAGGTCAGGTCAATGTCATAGACCTTAGATGGCATATCCTTGATTCACTTCTTCGAGTTTTAGGCATGTGCCTTTGGTAGTTTTTTATGCTGATTTTGAATTCAACACCCATTTTAACTTTCGAGAAATAAGTTTGGTGTCTATGCAACATGTTACAAAGCTGTCAGTGATAGTTGACACAGGCTACCGATTGACCTGACCTGACCTGACCTGACTAGACCTATCCCAAATGCATCAATACATCACCTTTGATCAAAACTAGCATGAATTGGTAAGCAGGACCCCCAAAACCCTTATAACAACCTCACTTTACAAAATTCTAGCAGGCCTCCGTTTTCCCGACTTTTTGGTCATTAACCTAACCTGGGAGGTCAACCAATGATCTAGGAGGCCATAAAACTGGCTATCATCGGCTTCCTCTCGTCACAGGCAGCACGCTCGCTTTTCCACGAATTTCCATGTAGCTCAATCAGGGGCGTAGGGTGAGAATTAAGCTAAAAATAACATTTTTGAAAATTGCACACGGAGCTGTGGATGAATCGAGGACGTAGCACTAAGCATATCATACATTTAGTGCACAGCGGTATTCGAGTAAAGTGACCGAAATTAGCTCTGCAGCACAAAACGATATACCGTCACTGGTGGTAAACCAGTGCCTACACACTACATTGCACATGGTGCACACCAATGTTGTAGCGTGCATATTGCAAATAACGGCCTTACGCGGATTACCCCCGGAATCTGCCTTATACCGCTGGGCGCTGAAGTTAGCTGTAATTATTACACATCCTCGTCGGCGATCGTACCGTTTAACCCGCGCCCCGTAGGGCTTCCGGCGGACCCTACCACCCGTAGGGGTGGTGGGGGGCCGTTTCGGCCCCCCCTAAGATCTCGGAAATTTACCGGCCGATTTTCAAAATTCAAACGGCGTTCGATAGCCCCACCGGGGAACTACCTTGTGACTAAATTTCATTGACCTAGGTCAAACCGATGACGTCACAGGTCAGGTCAAAGGTAAGATTTTTACCGTTCACAGGCATTTCAAGAAATGTGTTGTGAAATCGAGTAAATTGGTAAGTTATTGAAAACCATCGATGGTACATTGTTCGTCAAACACATACTTCGCTATCTGAGGTCACTGTCACCAGGTCAGGTCACAGAGGTCAGGTCACTGGGGGTCACAATATGAAAGTGTCGTGTGATACATGTTTTATGGTCCATTTTACATGACAAATGCGATTATGTGGGTCAGGCAGCCTTTGGGGTCAGCTTAGGTCATGTTTTGGTGAAGGTCAGGTCAAGGTCAGGTCAAATTAGGTCAAATTTCAAAGTTGATATTTTTGCATAAAATGGGTATCCATTCGATGCACCTCGCCACGGGGAGTCCAATGGTGGTCTTTGTTTTGCCTTACGTGGTCTCTCTTGAATTGCCAAAAATTGAGTTTGAAAATTTGACGTCATCATTTTTGAACAGTTTTTTGCTATAACTTGGCTAAAAAACGAAATATCGATCTAAAATTTGGTATGTAGATAGAAAACGGTAGGTACTATCACATGTATTCCGGTTTTTTTCGAAACTCAAATTTTTTTGGATTTTTTGGCTAATATATAAAAAAATCGCATTTTTTATTTTTCGGGGTCTAAACTAAAAAAAATCCAAAATCCGAGATAGCAGTTTTGTAGCCCTGTCTATTTTACACCTTTTATGTCTCGATCATTTTTCTTTATCTTCAAAGCTGTAGGTCTGACAGCTCTTCTCGCGAAGGTCTTTTTTCGGTCGAAAATGGCAGAACATGACGTCATTCTGACGTCATTTGTGGGCAACCTATCATAGCCTCTGGAAAATTTTTGGTCACAATGTGTAAAATTGATGCTCGGAGGGGTCCTGAAAGTTTAGTGGCGATATCTCCAGCCGCTTAGGAGATATCGACGGAAAAGGACAGGGGGGGCCGAAACGCCCCCCCCCTACTGGGCGCGGGTTTTAACATTATCATCGAACAGGTCACACCCCACACCCCAGTTTGTCCCGGTATCAAATCAAAGATTCCGTAGCAGCCTTCTACAACAATAGTTAACAACATTGTGACCAGCGAATATCAGGAAGTTATCGAATTTAGCAACAAAATAAAAAAACTGGGAATTTGGAGAAGTTCTACTTCAACACTTTCTTCATTTTGAAATATCACTGAGACAGTAGCACTTTTTGAGATCGTCTTGTTCGTCCGCGTTCTATCATTATGAATCCACGTCTAACAACTGGCGTGAACCTTTCAGCCGGCTCTGGCATCCCGCCGCCGCCTCCGCAGCAGTACAACGGCGTCTGTCCGGTGCCCGACGGCGCCACCACCTGCGACGTCCTGTGCTACAGCGACAAGGACTGCTCGTACGGCCAGCAGTGCTGCCAGTTCGGCTGCAGCCGCCGCTGCCTGCCCGTCTGCCAGTACCCATGTGGGCCCAACCAGCAGTGTCGCCTGGTCGGCAACCAGGCGCAGTGCGTGACCATCGACCCGTGCGCCAACCACCCGTGCCCCTACGGCAAGAAGTGTATCATCGGCTACGGCGGCCGTCCGCGCTGCGTCTGAGCACCGCGTCCGCAGCGGCCCGGGCCGCGCGCGCGCCGCCTCTGATATACCCGTCTGTGCCGTCTGTGAGCTCTGACCGCGTCCGCAGCGGCCCGGGCCGCGCGCGCGCCGCCTCTGATATACCCGTCTGTGCCGTCTGTGAGCTCTGAGCTGTTCGGGAAAACGGCCCTTGTTTGTAATTGTTTTATGTTTTTTGGAAACAAGGGGTTTGAGCTAAAAAAAAAACAATTTCTCGAAAATATATGTATATTGGCTTTACTAAGCACTGCATTTGCTTCATCTTACGTAAGTCCGAAGGAAATATCGCGCGCGGTTCCGGGGGACATTCCGCGCCCTCTGGCGAATATTTGTAGCTGCCGAACGCTTTGAGATATGAGCGGAAACGTCAGCACTTTTTCACGATAAATTTGACATCTGCAGTAAAACGGCATTAAACATAATTGGACCTAGCCCCTGGAAGTCATATGACAGCCCACAGACTCGATGTTTCAAAATCTGATACATAAAAATAATTGAGCTGTGCAATGACTGACTTGAATCCTTGAAACATTCTTAACCCGCGCCCTGTCGCAATATCCTCAGTTTCGTGGTGTTAAAGAAATTCGTTCCCTTCATTTGAAAAGTGGGCCTTAGCTAAGGCCCTATCTTTCAACTATTAACGACCATTTGATGACGTCATCAGCCGTTTCACGCGTTCGACCTGTTTTACGAATAAGTTGAAATCGGCGTATATTTATAAATATATTATATTAGTAAGTAAATATTAGTTAGTAAATATATTTGCTGCCAAATTTCCCCCCACATTGACATGAAGTACATCCTTCATTACGTCACAGATCCGATCCAAATGACGTCACGAAGAAATATAAAAGTCGCAATATCTCAAAAAGTATACGATGAAAACGCGTAAAAACTTGCAGAATTCATCACAATATCCTGAGTAACATTTCCGAATCCTAAACGGGTCTTTTTTGAAGGTGGGATTAGGGATAGTCCCTTTAAGTCTATCAAGTTTGTCCTCTAAGTTCGTTTCTTTTGGCACTACTACGAGAATATCGTCAACATAACGCAACCAAATTACGTTACTGCCCTCAATGTGCAAAAAAGGTCAATGTGCAAACATCCAGCAAATGTCAAGACGCTAACAACTGAAATCAAGATAAAAATGGCGAACCTAAATCAGCAAGAGGATGTGTCGTGCATACCTAGGTAATTTTCATTAGAAATAAAAAGCATATGGTGCAAGTAATTCGTAATAAGCAGTTGTTAAAAATACCAGGCCAAGTGGATTCGATACCGGTAAAAGTATACATTGAGTCCGAGTGACTGTTGACTGTTAGCCCTATTAGTGGCAGGGAGGGGGGGTTGTTTTCATCCACCCCTCAGGTTTTTCGGGAATATCTCCGAAACCGCTGAAGCTACGATGCTGAAAATTGCTGACTTTTCCTAAAACTAAATTGGGCACATTCCCTGAAAATTTCAAGTTCATAACTTTACCAGGGGCGGCTCCAGAGCACTGGAAATTGGGGGGTCCTATTCGTGAAGCGAGTCATTTGGGCGAAGATCACGATGCTGATGTATTATAACTGTATGCACCAGTTTTACGAACAGTGAATGAAAGGTATCATGTGATAACATATACAAAGTTATTGTGCATCCTCTTTTGACACTTTTTTGCTATAATAGGCGGATCCAGGCGTCCAAAAAGGGGGGTTATGTTTTACCTCCCAACATAGGTGCCCTGAAACCGCCTATGCATGACCAATACAATTGTAGTCGTTCTCTCATAAGAAAATTGTAACATAACAAGACCATTACCATCCTTTTTAGAAACAAAACTAACAAAAACCTTATTTACTATACTTTTTGTGTACCCCCAATCTCAATGATCTGTATCCGCCTATGATTTTTGAAAATGCATATTTTTAGGATCCATGTGAATTCCTGGTTCATTCTCTATCGATCGGCAAAAGTTGCGTTAAGATTGGTTCAGAAACCTGGCCGTGATAAACAGTCTAAAATGTATCTGCAATTTGCCCGTTTTTACCCCCTCTACCCCCCCCCCTATTGACATTTTTCAATTTTTATTTTTTAGAAATGTAGATCACGTTGAGCGAAATCGAATGCCGTTTGATTTGTGAAAATCGGCCCGTTAAATCTCGAGATATCAGGGGGGGTCGTAAACAGCCCCCCCCCCTGCCACTAATAGGGGTAGCCAGGAGCCTGCCACTAATAGGGTTAAAAGATAAAGTTTTCATATTCTTACATTATTTGACATCCTGAATCCAAAAATGATACTTATATGTCTTGGAAATAAAAGAAAAACATAATCAAACCTGACCTAACCTTACCTATTTACCTACAACCTACCAACCTACATCCTACAAACCTACGACCTCAACAACCTAAAACATACAAACCTACCAACCTAAAACCTAAAACCTACAAACCTACAACCTAACCTAACCTAAAACCTAAATTTTTTGCTGTTACATATTTGTATCAACAGCGTCACAATTGTCCACTCGGACCTAATATATATGTACTAATACCTCGATACCTTCCATACCTATCTATTTTTTTTTGTCGCTGTTGTGCATATCTCAATAAAGTTGCGTTAAATGCGCCGTGCATCTGTACTGTATGTATTTTGTAATGCACATTAGAAGTAAAAAGCATCTGGTGCAAAAGATTTGTTGTTAAAAGTCGTCAAAAATACCAAGCAAGGTGTATTCGATACTAAAACATGCACTAATTTGCTAAAACATAATTATAAAACACTAAACATCTAATCTAATTTAAGATATAAGCTAATCTAAAACATCTCATCTAAACATCTAATCTAAACATCTAATTTACTAAAACACTAATTAATTGTAAAACATTCGATACTATTCGATAATAAAACATGCCTTTGTTCTGTACCCATCCATCCATCATATCCATCCATCAAGATTCGCGGTTGTGCATTGCATTCCTTTCTCAATAAAGTTGTGAATCTTCTAAACTGAGGTGCCATATGGTGCCATCGTTACCAAGGTGATTGGTAGACAAACACAAGAAGCCAAATCAAATGTGTCATTTCAGCCGTCGTGAAATGAGATTCTCGACCAATCAAAACGTTCCGTTGTTTTGCTAATGCTGCTTGCTTAGCAAACATTCACAAGAGATGCCTAAACTACCCCATGGGGTAGTTTGAGCATGGTGAAACTGGATTCTACCCCATGGGGTAGAATGGAAATCTACCCCATGCCGAAATTACCCCACTTGGTGAAACTGGGCCCTGATGGGGTCTGCCGAGCAACGCGGTCTGATGGGGGGGGGGGCATTTTGTCCCCCCCCCCTAAGATCTCGAGAACCACGCAACATAGCGACAAGCAGCAAACGGTGTTGGGTAGCCCCAACGGGGAACTACCTTGTGACCCAATTTCATTGACCTTGGTCAAACCGATGACGTCACAGGTCAGGTCAAAGGTCGAACTTTCACCGTTTACAGGCATTTCAAGAAATGCGTTGTAAAATCGAGAAAAATGCATTTCAATGAAAAACATCGATGGGGAAATGTTCGCCAAACACATATTTTGCTATTTGAGGTCACTGATACTAGGTCAGGTCACAGAGGTCAGGTCACTGAGGGTCACATATTAAAAATATCATGTGATGCATGTTTTATGGTCCATTTTATATGCCAAATGCGATTATGTGGGACGGGCAGCCCTTGGGGTCATTTGAGATAATGTTTTGGTGAAGGTCAAGTCAAGGTCAGGTCAAGGTTAGGTCAAATTAGGTCGAATTTCAAAGTTGATGTTTCTGCATAAAATGGGTATCGATTCGATGTAGCTCGTCACGGGGAGTTCAATGGTGGTCTCCGTGTTGCGCTACATGGTCTCGAATTGCTAAAAATTGAGTTCAAAAATTTGACGTCATCAATTTTAAACAGTTTTTTCGCTATAACATGGCCAAAAAAAGTGGTATCGATCTAAAAAAAATTTATGTTTATCGAAGAGCGCAGGAACTATCACATGTATTACGATTTTTTCGAAATTCGAAAATTTTTGGATTTTTTTTTAGTTTTTCTTAAAAAAGTCAATTTTGTTTTTTAGAAAATCCCAAAATTTAGAAAATCCGAGATAGCAGTTTTGTGGTGCCGTCTTTTCTCTACAAAACCACATAAAGAACTTAAAAATTGCTTATTAACTGTAGAATTGGTGAGCGTTTCAATATGTCATGTTTTTTGCTCATTTTTACTCGAACATGACCTCAGTTTGACCTCAAGAACTCCTGATCCGAGGTGACCTGTGACTTGAAATTTTGTGTGAAGGTGTCAAATTGATGCCCGGTAAGGTACCCAAAATTTGGGCGCCACCGTTTTCTCGCTATTCAACCCTCGCCCATGTAGGGGGGGGGGGTTGGTGCAACCCCCCCCCCCCTGAGGTTTTTCTTAGCTACACGCCGAACCGTTTCAGATAGCGTGCTCAAATTTTCAATACCCCCTGGGGCATCCTTTGCGCAACTTTTGGTATTTTTTTGTCAAGGTCATGTCAGGTCACGGAGTTATGACGTCATAAAGGGAACAGGGAACAACCTCCGGCCAGATTTACGCTAAATTGGAGATTGCTTCACATTGGTATAAATGCCGACTGACCTGACACACTGATGGATTGTTTTAGAATCACAACTGGCTGATTTGACATTGGCACAATGTCCGTTGACATACATTTTGAAGGTTACTAAGGGTCAAGGTAAGGTCAGTGACCTCGGTTGACCTGTAATGACTTCTTGCACTTGTATGTCTTTTCGGGGTATTTTGATGCCCTGAATTCGAATTTGCTATCCACTTCAGGCATCGTCGGTTGTTTCTTGTAGTTCATTTTGGGTCAGGGTCAGGTCAGTGACGTCACACGCCTGACGTGACCCAGTGCACAAATGACCTTGCAGACTTCCGATGCTCCTGTAGGGGGCCTCTCTCCTCAGTCGCCCTGGGATCTTGATGGTGTGTCCCAGTGCGGGTCGGCTCTGTGCGGACTTTGATTGCAGTCATCCGCCATCGGTGAGGAGTGCGTTTAGCAAGGCCATTTAGAGGCAAGTCAGTCTTTGGCGAACACACAGGCACTGCATCATTGGGTTTCACCACAACAGAAAGGGGACAGTTAAGCGTTTGTTCTGGGTCCCTCGGGTATGGTCCATCCCTGAGGATAATAGAAGGGTGCTAGGTGGTCGAACTGATTAACCTAAGCGCAATTGCTCCCGCAGAC